ATCAAATATTATTTAACAATTGGTTCATGCTTTAGCGTGCACTATCGAGTTATGGAGCACGCGGGAAGTTTGGAGAGCACGAAAGAAGCGTAAGAGTTGCCCGAGGCGATAGCCGAGGGCAACTCTAGCTTCTTGAGTGCTCTCCAAACTTCCCACGTGCTCCATAACTCGATAGTGCACAGCTGAAAGCATGAACCAATTGTTTTAGAACATAGCCGGTGGAATTGTGCATCAAATGCGACGCGAAAAACGGACAACAATATCAGTTGAAGCGAATCGTGACGGCGCTGATGCCGAGTCTCCTTTTCCTTTGTTTTTCTCTTTTTCTGCCTCATTTAAGAACTCTAGCCCATGGGAAAAGGTCGAAACATTGTCTTCGTTTTCGGACTAGCAGGCCGAGTTTCTGTTTGTATCCATTATTGTCGCGAAATGTATTATTTTTCCCCGCACTAGCAATGGCCGCTCGCGCGAAAAAAAATTTCTGGCGAACTCGGATTTGCTGACGCTATCAGCGTGCACTATCGGGATTTTGAGCACGCTTACGTATAATGAATTTGATTGCGCGACTCTGCTAACTATGTTCTAAAATGTACTAGCCTGGAACTTTTTTCGTTATTTCTGGTCTTAGTGCATGCTACTTGTATTAGCTTTGAATTTCCAATAAAGGTCAGGTAGCGGCGGTCAGCTTGACATGGCTACCAGCGGTGTGCGAGAAATCACCTATTTTGTAGGTTTTCTTGCGTTCTTGGGAGAATATTGTTTTTGGTATGATTCATATTATTCGTGTCGTGAATGAGAAATTAATCGTTTCTCTTAAACTGCGAGTGTACAGAGTATCGAGCGAGGAAATGGCAGTCTTCGATGGGGTGTGGTAATGTCTGTTAAAATAATTACAGAAACAGAAAAAACCTAAGTAAATTTTTGCTTCGACGGGAATCCATCCCGTGCCTACCAGGTACTAGTTTGGCGCTATTACCAACAGCTGCCAAACCACCTGTTCCAAGCGAGACAAGTCTTTAGTTCGTTTGTTTGTCTGTTTGTTTGTTCCCAATAAGCGACTTTGATAACAGATGAAATATGAAATACAATTTACCATCACAGATGAAATATGAAATACAATTTACTTGACTTGTGCATGACAAGTAGCGAATTTATCCTCACAGAATATGACCCATAGTCATGCATGGAAACGTCTTTGCACTGTAGAAGCTCTAACAGATTCTTTGTTATTCTTAGGAAATCCTCCCGTTTCCTTGCTTCAGCAATGTACTAACATGCTTTCGCAGGTAACGATGATTCATGTACTTCTAGTTGTATATATGGTATTATCTACAAGAGCGTGGTGGTAAGATATGGCAGTGCTACACTGAAGTTGTAAATGGCTATTTCAACTTTTGTTTATGATTGCTGTTCAATTTTTTTGCAGGGTGGAGAGATACAAACACGTGTTGGTTTGTTATTGTTGCTGTGTTCGTGGTTATCCAGTTGTTCCTTGGCTGTGGCTCATTTTCTTCATAACTCTGCCAACATTCCATATGTATCTTTTAGCTACTGTGCTGTGTCATTGTTAAAATAGAAACTGAAAATGTTTAAAGTAACTTCATGCGTGACCCTCCACGGGAAAACGTGTACAAAGATGACAAGGGTACGCGTATCATAACACGGCACGTTAAGCGTGTCACAAATTTTCAGATATGTGCATGTTGAAAACGCAAACAAAAGACAGACATGGTTAGTAACTCGCTATAATCGCTCCCGCCCGCTGTAGTGTATTTGGCAGCCTGGAAACGAGAAGGAAAAGGAAGAAAGAAGGTTCAAATTCTGAGAACGTGAAATTTAGTCGTCATAGCATTCGTTGGCTCGCCTTTCTTTACTCGCGTATACCTAAAGAATGAACAGAGTCCTCTCGATAATGGCGACCACAATTTATCTTGGGTGAATGAAAATTGAACTTAGTCACGAGTAAAAACGTAAATTTCCCATCAGCATTTCTGTCTCAAAGCTGCCTCCTTAACTGCTGTGAGCTAATGGCTCAAGTCGAGGTCCATGGCGAAGAAGCTGACAGACTGGTTGGAGCTCTCTGTTCCCTTCTTTTAGGAATATGTTTGGATAATAATGACAATTCAGAAGATTCTTGTCAGAAGTAAGTCACCTCTCGTTCTTTAACCTTTACGCTCTTAAATCATATTCTCCATACTGTTCTCTATACATTTCCTACGGTGCTGACAAAGAGAATTTGTTTAACAATCAAGAGCTTCTTTAGTTGCTGATCATTTCCTTCATTCTTGTCATGTTAATGTTGGATTCGGAGCTGATATTGTAAGGAGAAATTAGATACTAATCACTCTTACGGGTTAAAGGCTATTTACGTGCTGCAATGAAATGTCTCGCACGAGTTATCGAAGAGAGTAGAAAATCCCTTCATTGTACATTAGACACACAGTAACAACAGACTCTGCCTTTTCTGCAGGGACGATCTTCGAAATTTGATAATCAAAAGAATAGGAAGTGATAATCTTTTGGACAAAATTAGTTTTATATCCAAGTCGGAGTTTTTCACGGCTGCTGTCAAATCTCCCGAGGTAAGAAGACTCTGCTATGTTCGATAATAGATATGTATATTTTTTGTTGTTTGTTTATATGTGTGGTATTTGTGTATGTGTTCTTTTTTGAAGCAATGAAAACACTAATGTGGCCTTGAATTACTGTAAAATATTGTAGAAGTCCGAGCTTTCGCCGCTCAACGGCATCATCAGGGACGGATAAGGTAAAATATTCCGCGAGGGCCGAATAAAAGGGAGAAAAGTGTCAGTATACTAATGAGCCAGTGTCACTGCGAGAGGATCCAGTGTGATATGTGAGCCGTTAGAACAATAGGTCCGCGAATTCAATGCATTCTTCTCGGGAGATGATTGTACGTTGTTTTTCCTTATGTAAAACGCTTCAAATAGGCGGAAGTTTACCGGGTCGTTTTCCAATGTAATGATTTTGACTTCAGTGCCTTTGTAATTTTTGTTTTGGCATATCTTTGGCATATATTTGGATTTCGTTAACCGCCTCCCGGTTAGCTCAATTGATAGAACGCTGGACTGATGTGCGGGAGGTCGAGGGTTCGAGCCCCGGCCGGACCAACACTCAAGGTCTTAAAATAATTGAGAAGAATATGCTGCCTTTCTATAACATCAAGAAATGGTTTAGATATTCTAGTCTTCTCGGATAGGGACGAATAAATGGAGGTCCCGTCTCCTGCAGGGTTAGGGGTAGGAGACGTTAATTTCCCACGCACGAGATTACTGTGTGATGGATGTCCTCCCCTGGGGTGGGATGGGTGGGTTGTTGTCTTGCGTTTACACGAGCCTCTGGCTCGGGCAATATTGGCAACCATGTCCCACGTAAAGACATTAAACTTGATTACAGGTAATAGCAATATGTTTGTTTACGGATGAATTTACGCTTCCGAGATGTTCTTTCACACGGTCGTGGATGAAGCGAGAGGTGCTCCCGATGTAGTCTTGGTTACAGTTTTTGCATGAAATTTGGTAAACAGCGTTTCTCAAACACAGGTTGGTATGTGCGATGGGGCAATTGTCTCATGTGCATGTACGCTCCGTGATTTTGTGAGAGAGGGCTTTTCTGAGGGCGTATGACTTGTGTACGATGCGCACAGGTATTCCCTCTTTACGGAAGATGTTAGTGATGTTGTGGTGTAGCCGTTCGGAGATGTGGGTGATCTTCAGGTATGACCATTCCCTCTTTTCTGTGTTGGGAGGGAGAGACTCTTCGGAACGGTTCTGGGGTTGTTTCGTGTGGTGTATGCAGCTCTCTGAGTTTCCGTTTAGGCGCAGGATTTCGTCAAACGCACCTTGATGTTTTGCATTTGTAGTTTGTTTGGAGCATCATTGGTCATAATACGTTTCCGCTCGTTGTGAATGAATTTGGTCTTGGCTTTCTTGGGAATAGCCGATTGATGGTGTACGAACAATGGATTTTTAGCTTCTTTTTTTTTTGTAAAACTCAAAAGGAGCTTTTGCCGTCTTTAGAGATGGTAACTTCGAAGTCTAGTAGTGACAGTTTGTGGCCGTTAGGTGTTCTTTATTGTTTTGCTTTCCTTTGTTTTCAGGTCTGCTATCGGTTTTTGTGTTGTTATTGTCGTTGTTGTGGTTGTTGTGTAGTTGTGTTTCATAATGAGATCATATTTCGGGTGGCATCGGGATAACCGTGATCGAGATTAAAAAAAATGACCTAATTTCCTTACAAACATACACGAGTTTTACTTTTCAAACTGAACCTAGCTAATGGTGTGTGCAGAAGGGCACCTAACTCGCCAGTAAATTACGTCAGTATCACTCTCGATCCAGCTCTCACAATGCCACTCGATCGGAACATAATCTGGTGTTAACGGGCATAAAATAACTTAGAAGTAATAGTTTGCTCGGAGAATTTAAGCCAAACGTAACTATGGGATAGAATCAGAGAACTAGAAAACCACCTACGAGAGTAATATTTGAAAAGCTTTTGTTTTTGTGAGCCAATACTAAACAAAAAGTACAAAAACTGTCCATCAAATCTTTTTTCTTTAGAGATGTCCTTATCGTGTTATCTTAGCAAGTACTTACAAGATTACTTTCTTGAATGAGGTAATGACCGAGTAATTGTATCCACTACAGATCAAAGTCGAGTCGGAAAAGCATGTTTTATTTGATCATGAATTCACCAAGCTGTTCAAGAAGCTGGAAGGTTAGTTGATCCAGATTATGAATTAATATTTCTTTAGCTAAACGCACTGACCTTCTCACAAGAAATGGTGGCGAACTCGTCTTTTCTTCATTTATATTGATCAGATCATTGTTTAGTCCTTTTTATAACCATGATGATGCTAATTTAAGCCTTTGTTGCTATTGTTGCCTCGAAGCTGCTGTGACTAAAGCTATTGAAGAGGAACCTGCACAACAGCAACTAGCGAACCATGTGAACGGAAAACCGTCGCAAGGAATGGAAAACCATGACTCAATCATATCATCGTACAAAGAACTTATCAGAGAACAGGTGAGTGTCACATGACCCTCAATCAGTACGGATAGTTAAACGTTCTCCGTGTGTTGGAGACTCGGTGGCTTCATAGTTAGCGCCTTGGTCGCCGGATGAAGGAATCCAGATTCCAGACCCCCGTCACTGTGATGTGCTCTTTGCCAAAACACTGAACTCACTGAAATGAGTATTTTTAGCAGTTGTAGTCGTTGTCCAGTGCGCGCCCTTCACAGATGTACAACTACGTCCTATTCACTAGAAGGTTGAAAGAAAATTTTTATTCTTTGCAGGATGAAGAAATCGGAAAGCTCAAATCAAGATACGGTGACATGGAGTCGTCTTACAATCAGGTGAAATACCAGGAAGTGTACCTTGGATCTGATATAACTAAAGTTGTTCAGTCCTTGGGTCGTTTTTTCGGGCAACCAAGACTTGCAGGGATACATTGCATCTTGAGTGAATCTTTAACTCACGTTCATGCAAAGCATTGGAAAACAAGGGGGAAAAAGTCACTAATGTGCAAACTATCAAATGTTTGGTGGAGAAGCATGTTCTGTTGGTAGTACAAATACTACCACATTGTCTGTACACCAGAGAGGATTTAAGGGGAGAGAACTTTTGCTTAGTAAAGGTACCAGTTTTGAAAGCTGTCTTCTCTGTGATAGGCCCAAGCACAGATTCAACAACAGTCACAAGAGATCCAGCAGCTTCGTGAACAACTTCTAGTGGCTCAGAGTAAGAGGAAATATGTTTTTCTTTTCCCCTTTCTCTTTTTTTATCTTTCCTGGAGATGATTTCCTTAACCTCTGGTTTATTTTGCGTAGCTTTCCAACCCCAGTCATCAGGCGTGACTGAATCATTCTTCACCGAAAACGAGGAATTAACGAATCTTAGAAATCAAGTCAGTGATCTTCAAATGAGCAGAGACTCGCTACAGGAGGATGTCAGAACGAGAGATGAAAAAATAGAAAAGTTGGTAAGTACAACCTTAACATCCAACTGTCAATTCTACCTGCTGGCTCTTTCGCGGCAATTTCTTTTAATAATAATATTTTAATATTTAATAAAAGTTAGATTAATAAAAAATTATTTCTTTTCTTTTAATGATTAGTAGAGGTATCCTGGTCTGAAAAACAGCTCTTTAATACCTTTATACACGGTTTCCTCTCGGTTTTTCCTCCCTCCTTGTTAGCTGAATTTGATTCGAAGCATTCGAAGGCGAGTGTCACTGATATTCGTACCCTATGTTAAAGTCTTCACAGTAACATAGAATCTGTTGAGTTCACACAATAAAAAGCAAAATTGTTAATTGTGACGTCATCCATGAGTCTTGTAATAGATCGTAAGTAAGAGTCAATCAAAATACTTTTAGAACTTAGCTGATTGTATGATTTCATATAGATTTTAGGCAACCAACAATTGCAGAGCCCATAGTGGTGAGAATTTCGTTAGTTGCTGATATCATTTTATCGCATTTTAGGATAAAGACATAGAAGTGTGCCAGGCCTCGTTAGCCGTTGCTCAAGCAGCTGCTGAGCTAGCTGCAGGCTCAGAAACTGCAGAAATCCCATCAGTGTCAGTGAGCCTTACAAGTCAGCAACTAGAAGAATTAGAACACTTAAAGCGAACAGTGACATCACAGCAAGAGGAGTTAGACGTGCTTAGAAATTTGAACGCAGAACTTGAGAATGAAATGGAGGTGATGGTAAGTAAAATGACGAGGAAACTGCAATGAGTCAGAGTAGTTCTCAATCGAGAGTCGCATCTATGAGCAGGGCGTAAAATTAACTTTTTTTTTTTTTTTCCGGTAGCCACTTGGCTCCTAAATATTTTAAACTGGTAGCCAATTCCAAAACGTTGGTGGCCATTATGACACACACAAAAATATTTTACCCTGTCACTGTACTAAATAGATTATCATATCAGTGATACAGTCATACAAACATCAAAAATGAGCCTGCTAAATTCGCACGAGCTACAAAGAGGACACTAGAATGGATCATATACAAATTTATAAGTTACCTAAATCCAACATGCCGTCTAGTGACGATAGATTTACGTTCGACATCATGCATGTGCTGCGTTTTGGAAACGAGCTTAACGAGGAACTTTGCTGCAGATTTATATTTACAAATCTTCAACAATCACTAGATCTCTCGTTAAGGTGTGATTAGAAATTCTAGTCGCCAATTTGGCGACTAATTTTCAGGATTTGGTCGCCATAGTGAAAAATGTAGTCGCATTGTCGCCTGTATTAGGCGCAATTTTACGCCCTGATGAGCCACATAACCGATATCATCAAAGTGTTTTTTGCGACCAAGAGAGAAATTTGATGTGGTTAAGAGTAAACCAAGTGAGATATAATCGCAATTGTAAGTTGCATTTTTTTTATGCATACTAAGATTTACACTGTGCGATGCATCAAACTCATTCGTTCGCTTAAAAAAAAAAAAAAAAAACATTCGTTCGCTGCCCTCACTCGTTGTTGTTGTTGTTTTTAATCTCTATTTTCGTAATTTGATTTATATGCAGAGAGAAGAGGGACTCAATACGCCAACGAATAGCACAGATGAAGTAAAAGCTGAGCTGGAGAAGGCCAGAATAGAAAGCCACGACAAAATTAGACTGTTAGAGGAAAAATTAGCCACCACAGAGAATGACATGAGCAGAATGATAGAGGAGAAAGCAGATCTGGAGAAGGAACACGAAGATCTTTTGGTTATGCTAACTGAACAAGATAACAAAATTATGAAATATAAGGTGATTTTATGTGTGATGAAGATTCATTGCCAGAACTAGAGAAAGAAAGATGGTTTAGGAATTAGAAAAAAAAGAAGTGAGGAAACAGGGAGTGAGAAATTTCTCTCTCCCTCTTCTTGATCGCTTTGACATTATTAGAATGAATTCTAACAACGTTTAACCCTTTCATTGTTAGATCTTAATGTCTTTGTTTTTTACTGTCTGCTTTAAAAGGGTTAAAAGTATGAAAATCCGTAAGACGGGCCTCGTTAAGTCAATGATTTCATTTCTCTCGAGCTTGGAAAACTGTTGAAAATTGTTCTCAAAGATGTGTAGGAACCGTGCATTTCTCTACATCCGAACATCAGTATGCATATTCTCCACGCTGTTCTCTATACATTTCCTAAGGAGCTGACAAGGATAATTTGTTTAACAATCAAGAGCTTCTTTAGTTGGTGATCATTTCCTTCATTCTAGAGACCTTTATGCGTGATTCAGGGGTGATGTAGGAAGGAGAATTTACATGCAAGTCACCTTTAGGGATTTGAGGGTTCAAAACCTTTGTCGTTTTCCACTCACGCAGAAACTAGCGAAAGAGGCTGGACAAGAGGTGAGCGAAGACGAAGATGAAGATGATGTGGATGATGACGATGTGGATGACGATGATGACGGAGAGGATGAGGATGACGGGAATAATGATGACGATGAAAGTGAAGACGGGTCTGATAACCACGAAAGTAATGAAACAGAACACGTCACAGAACAACCAAACACGAAGGAGGAAGCAGAACTGGACGATGAAGAACTTACGTGAAATACAAAATAATCTAACGTGAAATAGTTTTATTGATGTTAAACGAAAAGCAAGGTATTCTAAACAGAAGTAGAATTATGCCCATTTTTAACGATGGTGTTTATTAATTTTAATGAGAGTTTTAACTGCAATTCACTGCATCAGTTCCGGGAAAAATGAATAAATCTCTCGTTCTTTGGTGCCCGGATAAAACGTTCTTAAAAATTAGGATTGTGAAAGATTTTTCAACCTCATTTAGAGATATTGAAAAAATATTCAGCTAGGAGAAAATGTAGCATCTTGTCTTCGTGGGTTTGTTTCACAGGGGAAATGAGATACTTTGGAAAAGAATCAAAGTCCTTCCCTTAAAAAAAGACAACAAAAATATTAATTTATATACTGCCACTTGGGTATATTGTGTCGGTTGGTAGAAGCTGGCGTTTTAACGTTCAGTTTTGTTTGATGCCCAGTTATGCAAAAAACACGAAATTTGAACAAGATTGTTTGTCGAGCACAAAACTTAGAGAAATACTTTCTTACGGATCTTTTGAAAATTGCCCCTTTTAAGCCGAACGTAGATGACATGTTTTTAAACCCATTACAGTAACCAAATAAAACAAACATGGGAGAGAATGAATAGTACATCCATGGTATCATATGGGAACCACAAGCTTGAGTAACTCGCACTTTAATATTGTTCTTAGAGAAAGTTCAGTGTGGAATTAGTCAGGTAAATTTTAAAAGAAGATTTTGTCAATTGGCATACAGGAATCGATGATTGTTTGCAAATTTAGTAAGTTCCTATATGAATTGTAATTAAAGTTATTTGTGTATTTATTGTGTGAACTGATGCGTAATCGGCTCGTTCAAAATTGGCTCTGTCGGATTAGAGAATGGTTCTGAGGTTAGAGGATGTTAGAGTCTCTATGTCTTGCAGTTCGTATTCGAGTTACACAATCTATCCTCTTCAAAGTGAGGCATAGGTAAAGTCCAAGAAAAATTGGAGAACCGGCGTGTGGAATTCAGTTTAAAAAGTTTTTTAAATTTTGAGTTACTTAACCCTAATCGTTTTAAGGTTTCACAGAGCAATTTTCAACAGACTGTCGGAAATAATCCGGGACCGCGCTAGGTTAGCTTTACTTCGCTCATTAATTGGTCTGGGGAACTTCCGCTACTTTCATAACCAGTCAGATGCAAAACGTGGTCGCCCGCGTTTTCCGCGCTTTGGACAATTTGTTTGTTTTTACTTTGAGCTCTAATTGGCTCTTAAGGTATTTTCCTTTTTTTTCTGCATGACCGTTGTGTCTACTTTGGTTTTAATTTGACGACATCTTATCGAAAATTCCTCTAACAGTGTCTAACGCAAAATCGATAATTCTGGGGGAGAAGCGAAAAAATAAGACGAAGGTCTTTACGAGATCGAAATATACTGGAGAGGGGGATGGGGGAATTTCAATCCATCTTGAACAATCTTGATATTGCAAAGTTCAACAACCAAAACCGATCTATATTTCAAAATCACTAGGGATTTCATCGTCCTCGTTCAGGCTTCCGTCGGTATCGCTCATTTCGACCTCTACCTTCATCGTCGTCGATCGGGGCACGTCGTAATTTTCCCTAGACCCGTGCACTCGTGGAGATTGGCGACCGCATATGGTATGACTTCTGGGAACGTCGTAGTTTTTATTAACAGCTTCTGAAAATAATAATAGTGGATGTGAAACTATGGCATTTTCCTTTCCTACGTCATGTCGTTAAGTAAAATACAAAGTCAACGGATGGGCATGTGAACGAGTCTGAAAATCAAGCGAATACCCCGAAAAATAAATCCAAAAACCAATAGTTAGATAAAAGTTATAGTCGAGTAATTCTAGAGCTCTCTCTATAGAGGAATATATGGGGGTGCTCCTCGCGATAATGGCACCATTTTCATGCTCAAAGATCACGAATAGGTTTGAGGCAAGAAGTAGGAGCACTCTAAGTGGGGTATGGTGCTGGGGCTATCAACACGTACCCTAATTCTGTTCAAGAGAAAACAACGTTCATTTGGCTTGGCTTCTATTAAAAAACACTCCTTTTTCCTAAGCATGTTATAACATGGCATTTGTTAGTTCTCCGTGGTAGTAAATAAATTGGAGGGGAGAGGGAATCTGCACGACTGTTACCTGACGGCGGAGCGCCCATGTTCTCGGGCAAGAGTTGGCTGTTTGACACAAGCGAACTTTCATGGTTGCTGATAAACGGATCACTCAATCGTCTTTGTATCTCAGAAAACTCCAAACGCTTAGCAGGATCCTCGTGCCAGCAATCTTTCATGATAGCGTACACAAAATCTGGACAGTTTTGAGGCTTACCCATATGAATGCCCTGCAATAGAGGAAACCGCTCGATTTTAGGAATGACTCAATGGACCCCAGCGAGTATTCCAAGAAAGAACCTCGTAGCGTTGCCTTGCCTACAGAGCAGGCGTAATTTTGGCGAGCTAGTACTCAGTATTTTCCTAGCGAAGAATGGCCGCCATCTTTGATTTGAGTGGCAGCGGAAGGCTGAGGAGAGAAAGTGATTTTTGTTGAGGGAGTGAGTAACGTTCAAAACTAAGGATACGGGCTGGGGTTTGGATAAATAATCACGAGCTTATAACGTTAACTCGCCTTAATAAGATGCCAGCAGTACAGACGTAGTTGGTGCCCAGATCTCCAACTTAGCGTAGAGGTCGATAATTACATGTTAATGTAAGGGAAATAAATTTCAATCAACGTTTACCTAACACAGGTGTATTCAGTGCTCTCGCCTAACCACTCGTTTCATTCGAATTATTGGCGATGTATTGAAATAAGAAGATAGAGTAAGCGACATGGCCCAGTTAACAAGGGTGGCCGGCTCTAGCAACAATGACCTGGGTTTAAAACTGTTTAGCTGGCGTCTTATTTAATCAGTAACCGAGCTCTAGCTTTGCAATGCGAACAGGGACTGGACTGAAAAATTAACTTGCTGGAGTGTATAAACGAGTCAAAGTTGCTCTATGCCGACAGAAGACCGTAAATTATTCCCGCTTACCACAAGGACACCTGAACTACTGGACCATTTGAAAAGGCGCTTAAAAAGGTTGATCATAAGGAAGGAACTGATCCTGTCGTAAAAAAGTTATACCGCTTCTCTTAACAACAACCGAGGAAGTTTAAGCATGTCAAGGACTACGAAACTTCTTATAGTCAGCAGAAAGCTTATATTTAGCCATTTAACCCCTAAGAATGATGAACAACTTATTTCTTCCCACAGTAAGTACCCCCCCTGGATAAAGGGGGTCATGAGAAGAAAGGAAATGATAACTAACTGTAGAAGCTCCTTATAACTACCATAACAAAAGCATAAAAAATGGACAACTTGCCTACTGATGTTAGGTGCGAAGGATTAAGTATGTGAACTAGTGGTTTTTTGATATCTTAGTCTGACCAGTCTAGTACCCTGACTTACCCACCCGCCACCCCTCCTAAACGAGTTGGATCTCGTCATGAGTTTTGTCATTACCTTTTGTATAAAGCTCATCACTTCCTGGTTGCTATAGCCGTAATATGGTTGGAGAGCAAATGTGAAAATCTCCCAGAGTAACACGCCATATGCGTACACGTCCGACTTGAGGCTAAATTTGCCGTACTTTAATGCTTCAGGGGCCAGCCAGCGGATGGGCAAAGCAGTTTCCTTACTTAACTGAAATATAAGAACAAAGATGAAAGGTCTCTTCCGGAAAAAAAACTCAAAATTTCTTTGATATCCTTCCCAGATCTTTATAACTCTTAACGAAAAGGAGGCGGCGAGGTGACATGGTAATTTAATCGTTATCTTGTTTTCTATGTCATTGGTGCTTAAATTACTCTGTAACAGCACAGCATTTGCTACATTAGCAGTCACAACATTTTGATGTGGTAAGAGTACCTTGTAGTAATCTGAAGTATAAATGTCACGCGACATCCCAAAGTCCCCAATCTTCACCACCAGGCTATCGCCGACAAGACAGTTTCTAGCTGCCAGGTCTCTGTGAATAAACTTCATCTCGGCCAAATACTGCATGCCAGCAGCTATCTGAGTTGAGATAAGGAGCAGGTCTTCGTGGATAAGGTAGACTGGTCAGAAAAATGGAGAGAAGTTACAACAAAAAATAAGACTTTCGCATCGATACAAGGATGGGTAGACGGAAGGTTAGATGAATGGATAAATGGATGGAGGGATGGGAGGATGGGAAGATGGATGGAGAGATGGGTAGATGACAAAATGGATGGAGGGAAAATGGATAGAGGGAAAAATGGATGGAGGGAAAAATGGATAAAGGAAAAAATGGATGGAGGGGAAAAGGGATGGAGGGAAAAAGGATGGAGGGAAAAATGGATGGAGGAAAAAAGGGTAGATGGATGAATGGATGGATGGATAGATGGATGGATGGATAAACGGATGTATGGATAGTACCTTTATTTGGTTCTTGTGATTCATCCGGGATATCAGCAGCCGGAAAGGCGTTCCTCAGATATTGGTTCAAATCCCCGCCGCTCATGAACTCAAAGATCATTCCATAGGGTTCCTCCTCAGTTGATACAGCCAGGAGCTGAACAATGTTTGGATGTGTGAGGATGGACATTAGAGTTACCTCTCGGAAAAACTCGTCTTTCTGTTCCTTAGACGGATCGTCTTTCAATGCTTTAACAGCGACTAGGATCTCCTTCTTAGGCTTTTTGTCTATTAGACCAGCTGCGCGTCCTAGAAAACAGTCATATAATGAAGGCCCTCGTATCTTCTCATCTTTAGCCGAAAAGATAACAGGTGGACCTGATTGCTCACGACAATTTGGCTCTGGTGAACTGTTCGTAGGTACTTACGAGAGTTGTCTGGCTAATTTAAGCAATATACTGCACTTCCCATCGGTTTACTGGAGTAATGTTGGCCGTTGGGGGAACTCGAGAAAGTTTGTCTATTCTCATGGACGGTGACGGTAAAAGTAATTTTCTAGAAATTTCTAGAATGTCTAGTTAAGCTGACATGCGTACCATGAAACTTTCTAGAACTTTCTGTTAGATCACATAGTTATGATGCAACATTACCGAAATAGTTGTGTTGTAAGCTTTCGGAATGTTATTGAAAAAATTTCAAATGTATGTAAAGACTCAGTCATGTAATAGTAATTATTAAAAACTGGATCATTTTATAATGCAATTCAAGGCTTTTTATTGGCTTAGCCATTATGGTATGTGAGCCAATATACCATAATCTAATATCTGTACACTGTAACATCCGGTTTCTTCTTACAAAATAAAGTCGAGAAGATTTGTCTAATATCTTGGAGACGTTTTTTTAATAAAACAATGATTCCATTCGCGCTTGTTGGATATGAGATAATCATAGCCAACTCCGCGCTACGCGCCTCGTTGGCTGTCTATCATCTCATATCCAACGGGCGCTCGTGGAATAATTGCTAATTAGCCGTAGTTGTCGGTAGTGACCGACTGTCTGGAAAGCTATGCCAAGAGAGACAGAGAGAGATACGGTGGAAGATCGGTCCTTTTTAAGTAAGTTTGGAGACATGCAACTGTAAGATTGTGGTGGTGGTGAACTAATATATAGTTTGAGGGTTTAAATGAGTTTATTAAGGATAACTACGGTAATGCCATTAGGAATCACTCCTTATTGGTAAGAATATCACACGTTGTTTAACAAAGTTGTTCGGTTTGTAGAAGGAGGGTGTTCCTTATGTCGGTTAAATTACACGGTAATTCTACCACCGGCCGGAGGCACCTGGTCCTTCGAGAATAAAGTGACTTCAACTTAAGTGTTGCTCTAAACATTTTGTGAAGAACGGCTAGAAGCAAAGGTTTAAATGCAGTGTGCGCAAAAAGTTGAACTTACCTTGAAAAACTTTACCAAAAGAGCCCACTCCCAGCTCCTTGACATAATGTACGCGGTCCAACCTGTACTGCCTCAGTCTATTTGGATCAAAGTTCCGCAACAGCAATGTGTCGAAACTTTTCAAGGACTCTGTTCGTAATTTATCTCTCATTGAAAAGGCCGGCGGCTCGGCCAATGCCTCAATGTCAACTTGGCGTCTTCGCCAAAGCAAAAGTATAATAACGCACACCACAAGGATGAGCAAACTCACTGTGACAGTTGGGAGAGTGATGAGAAGTTTGTCGTCGTCACGGTCTTGGTTCTTCTTTTTCGTTTCTACTTTGGGCTTGAGAGTTCCTTTTTCTTCGTATTCTGCGAATTTAAAAAATGAATCTATCTTAAACAGAATTATCACGCGTAACCTGCTCATGCGCGGTAGAATATCAAGTCAAGTATATTTCAGGGCATTTTCGATTGGCTTGAAAAATCAGCGAAAATAAGATTTAAGACTCTCCGATATATAGGGTTTGTAGCTTGGTGCGCGTGAAAGAATAGCTAACCAATACGTAAAAACGGACTTTTCTCTCCATCAGTCATCATAGAAGAGAGTAAACTTGAATAACGCACTTATCCCTGCCTTTTGACTCCGCATTACTCTATTAGCGGTTGACTCTCTTTGTTTCTTCTCTTTCTTTGGTGTTAAATTTTTGTTTTGTGATTGTTGTTTTCTGACTGTTTTCAGTCAGCTCGCTAACAAGTAACCCACCCACGATATATTAGAGCAGCTTTCAGTAAGTGTTGAGAACCCAGAACCCAAATAATAACAACTTCCAATCAGTGCAAAGGTTAACATCGTTATTAACCAATGAGAACTCAAAGTGAAAACAGGCAACCCTCTTGGAGCGCGCGAAAACACGGGTGACCAAGTTGGGACTGGTTTCACTTTGTCATCTGATTGGTTAAAATAGTGGCGCGAGTTCTCCTGACATATCACACAGTAAAATAAAGAAAAAATATACCAAATCAATCCAGGATCAACATCGATACTCGATTGAAATTTGCTTTAAGAGCTAAAATTTAATTGTCTCGTAATTAAAGTAGCATTACTTACTAAAAAATCCAGATTTCATACAAGTCTTGTTCCCAGGTAGGCTTTCATAATACGATCGAGGGTGATGCTTGGAACAGTCAGGTATTCCCCGATGTATAAAGTCAATGCCTTCATTACGCATATGCAACTTCACTCCCCCAATCACTTGATGTATGGTTTCTCTACATTCGTTGAAAATTTTTTCACAGTCCTCCTTACAATAGTCGAGTATCGTGCCATCTGAGTAACAAGGTGGTATAGTGTAATGGCAAAGCATGTTCACCATGATGTTTCTGCATTTTTCATTGTCATCAGCGTAGTCATTGATCATGCCAATGACTTTTACAAGGAACTGTTCGGTCCCAGATTGGCCAAAACTGTTGTCAAAGAAACGCTTAGCGTCTCTGTAATCCGCTAGTGTTGCAAAGGAGTCGCGACAAACTTTTCCTTTGTATTCAAAACAGGCGCCTCCCCTGAAAGAAGTAAAAAGCTAATTTTACAACTACTCGATGATAAGCCAACAGTCTGTTGCACATCGCTGTGGGAAGCAGTAGAAAGTGGCGGGGGATTTGATTCCGTATTAATGGCAATGAGGATAGTCTCGTGCCTAGATCCTACCGAGTAGCGGAAGCTGAAATGAAGGCCGCATAGCCGTTGAAGGTCTGTGATTATGCTATGTTTGGGTTGGGTCGCGTGGAGAACGCTTTCAATTCACGACTTAGCCCAAGCTTCCTCATTTATTCACTCCTCCGCTACTGATCGCGCCGTGTACTATCGCCCCTCTTTTTGGTTACTGAACGAATGGAACAGGCTGTGAATATGCTATGTGATATGATATTATGTGTATTATCAATACACAGACACAGTTTAAGAGGGTCTGACATGGCAAGTGACGACCTTTAAACTCAGAACTTACACGTAGTGCACTTGAGCTCCCTGTATACAACCATTCCACCAGCCATTACAATGTCCAAACAATGTCCAAACAATTTCCAAACAATGTTGTGGTATTTGCGATTGGCTCAACGTGCTTTTCCCCGGCCCAATAAAAAAAATGTTTGATTTTTAATTCTGTGCTGAGCCGAGCCCATTTCCTCCTAATTTTATTAAGTAATTCTAAAATAACAAATCTGACGATCATATTTCAAAAAAAAGAAAAAAGGAAAAAAGAGAGTCAGAGAAGAAAGCAAAAGTCGAGGTAGACCTACTAATGACTCTACCGCGAAATGTTTGAAGGCCCCTTTGCTAAGTATTGATGACGTCATAGATGTACAGTGCGAGTTCTCGTAGTGAATTCGATCTCTCTTAAGGTGGCTAGTACCAGTTTCCTCGCGCGGGGAACAAGTCACTCTTGCATGACGCGCGAGAGAAACCTGCGAAAGAAGGGCGAGATCAAAAGATGAAAATTCAAAACAAAGATGGCGGCGCGTGGATTTTTTTCTACTTTTGTGAGAAGTTTACCTAAGAGCGTGTATTTGATGTGCTGAGCGGCCACTGTGAATGCCGGAGATAGAAACTCAGATAAAGAAGACAAGGTTGCTTCACTTCACATCTAAAATAAATATTCAACCGATCTGAAATCTTGCGACGGCGAAAAAAGAAGAACTCAAGTGAAGGATAATCTACCTGAAGTGGAAGAAGACTTAAAAACTTAAAGGAAATAATATGATGTAGCCAGAAGTCGTGTGTAAGATTTTTAAGATGAGCCCGAGAGGCTGTCTTTGACATCCGTTTAATGATTTTCTTAGCAGTAAACGCGAATTTACGTCTGTAAACATCAGATCGTAGGCGCTCGCGCGAGCACACGCAATTGTCAGCGGTAGCTATAACAGATCATGAGCAAATGTCAATCTTATAGAATCCAGATCATTTTTAAATGCGCGTGAACGCGTGTAGAAATTGCTAAACTCACGAAAGCTATTGGATGAAAAAAAGTCCGGTGACCCCTTCTTTTTATTGTTCCAATATGATAATAACGTCGAAAGGAATCATGAGAAAAAATAAATAGAAAAATCTATGGAAGGAAATTTTCGATGTGTGAAAATTGCCTCTTTTCTAGATTTTCTGAAATTCCGCACCGTAGAATTTTTTAAAAATCTTTGTGCATTTTCCTTTTCAAGTGCCAAAAGCAATCACTGAAAAAGATCACGGGGTCACCGGGTTAGTTTTCGAATTACTTAAGCCAAAAGCTAAAAAATGCGTTTGAATAAGCCCATGAAAGCGTTGCCATGGAAACTGCTAGTGACGAAATGACACTTATTTTTAGATGACCAATGATTATATAATTCAACCCCGTAAAAGTGTTCAACTGGCCTTGGTAAGTCTTTCTGTTGTATTCTTCAATTTCAAAGTTACAAACCATCAATAATATAAAAACTGGTACCAGCCACCTTAAGAGCAAATCCATGCAAAAATCAAACATTGCATGGCAAAGTCAAAAAACTAAAATTTGCTGTTCTTTCGCATACAAGTAAATTTTAGAAAGTATACAATTGCTGTGCAGTTTTTTTCTTAAAAAAAGTATTTGCATCCGAAAAAACGAAAACATTTCGTTTTCAGTCCTGGGATCGAATTGGCGACACCGAACATCTTTAAAATAGGTCATAATTCACTCGACTCGCGTATCAAAAAATCTGCGCTAGAAAAAAGCTATCACAGTTCCAAGTTGTTGCACAAGTTGTCATCGTCTAAACACCGTGATTTCATAAAGATTAGATTAATTCCAGTATTCAAGAGAAGTCAAAGCTTCTGGCTCTCCCGTGTTGCGTAAAACAGTAGGCGAAAAACAACGATAATTTTTTAGCATGCATGTGCCTTTGCTCAGAATTTCGTAAGATTACGAATGATAATACTGGAGTTGATGGTCTTTCATGTAAAGTTTAGTTTGGGGAATTGAATTTGGAATGTTTTACAATTTGAAAATCGTGAAGAAAGACAAAAAAATCACGCCATCCTGTAGGCCTGTTGTGTACATGTGACCATCAAGACATTGATATAATAAAAATTTACACTACTCCGATGCATATAGCAAAGTAAATAAGGTAACTCAAATATTATATTCTTAGCTGTTCATATGATTCCAGAGTTTCAGTCTGTTTTGCCGTTTTCTCCATTCCGCGGTCTCTGTAAGTTTGACATCTGCACCGTCACTTCATGTCGCGGCGGCTCGATCAAAACAGCTGCTCCTGAAAACGTCTAAACTTTGCAGTTTGTATTCCTTGTGTGCCTGATACGACATGTTGGTATTCTTTGCGACAATATTCATTAAAACACTGATCGAGCCGACTATTTAAAGCTTATGTTTAGAGTTTTCTGGCGGGTGTGTAGAAAAGGAAGACTTAAGACCCTGAAGACCCAAAAACCAAGACCCCCTTCAAAATCACTCATAAACATCTACAGACGGGTATCTCGGCCTCAGATTTGTAAAGAGGACAAGATCATCAGTTACACAACATTTCGACCAGGGTCTTCGTTTTCTACACTTCCCCCCCGTGTGTAGAAAACGAAGACCCCCCTCAAAATCACTCGGAAACGGCTGGAAACCGCTTTTAACGATTCCTAGACATCAAAGGTGTGCAAAAAACAACACGGCTCCTGAAGATTTTCAATTATAAAGAATTTTGACCAGAGTCTTCGTTTTCTACACATCCCCCCAGTGTGTAGAAAACGAAGACCCCCCTCAAAATCACTCGGAAACAGCTGGAAACTGCTTTTAATGACTCCTAGACATCAAAGGAGTGTAAAAAACAACACGGCCCCTGACGATTTTCACTTATAAAAACATTTCGACGAGGGTCTTTGTCTGAGGTTTCTTCGGAATCATCTTTTGCTGTAAAGCGTTCATGACATTCAATAACCATATCACTGGGAGATCCTGGAGTTGTCGAGGGGTTAAATGCCCAGCCTTGTTTCTTTATTTTTTATCTTTAAGGTGGCTGAACACAGTTTTTGATACCTGTGTTTCTTTCACCATTTTCTCTAAAACCCTTGATCTCTCGGTCACCAAAACTGACAGCAAGCAAATTAACAACACAAACTTTGTTTTTTTGATAGTTAAGCTGACGAATACATATAAACAGGCCTTTAAAATCGGTTTTGTTCATTTTTAGAAAATCTAATCATTAGGTTTTTCTTTATAATTTGCATGCAACGAGCTTGTAACCATACTCACAAGTTAACACCATTTTGCTAACAATTTAACAGAGAGATCTTTAATTATCCCTTGTTGAGGGTCCACTCGATTATCTAGAATTTCCTTTGTTAAAAATCAATCTTTTTCAATACGCCAGTTACTTATTTCCTAAAGTATTTTCGTGCCAAATTTCGTGAAATTCTAATGAGTGGTTCTCAAGAAATAGGCATATTTCCGAGAAAGCAATTTTCCATTTGATCGCAATTTTTTTACTTACTACACATGCACTGCATTTAACTGGGTTCTCTCGGTAACGACGAAAAAGCTAAGAATTGCTGGGTTCTCTGCACTGTTAACTTTTCTAACATGTCTTTGTAATGAAAGATTAAAGCCTTCAATACACTGCGCCAACTATAGAGAAAAATAGCACAGATAGTGCGGATACGTGTTGAGTAAATAAAACGACCTCTCTATTGATGGCATGTTTGTTTTTTTTTTTGCAATCCTTGAACGCCCGCTTAATTGCATCAGCAAAAGCGCGCGCGAAAACTGTGTTCAGCCACCTAAAAAGCAACCACAACAAAAGCGTGCTCAACAAGAACGTTAACAAAACATGAACAAACAACTGAGAATCCCTCATTCATGTATCTACCGTGGAACCTCGATGTAACCAACCTCTTTATAAAAGACCATTTTCTTTAGCCCAGCAAAAAAGGTACTGTAAAATCTCGATTTAACCAACCTCCATTTAACGAATTCCTCGTTATAATTCAGGGGCACCCAATGACTGTTTTCTGAGAAATGATCTGAAATGCCTCTATGCTTCCGGGAGTACTTTAAAAGTAATCATAAATGAATTAATCGAATTCGCATTGCTAATAAAATTTGATCTGTGGTCTTCCTAGGAGTGGTTTGAGCCTCTCGAATTTTTTAGGGATGTTTTTCGCCTTTCTCGAAAATAACAGTCGACAACCGTCATAATCACCGAGCTGTATGCAGTCAACACATAGATCGAAGTCCGTAGACGTGACCCTTTAAAACCTACTGGGGTGATTGACGGGGACAATCGTCATATATTTTTGGATTACTGAATTGTTAAGGAGAATTTTAAACAAACAATTGCGACAGACAAATCGCTGCCCCCTGGGTTTTGGGACAGAAACCTTTGTCCGATGATAAGATCTGATGTCTTCTTTCTAAAAAGGCCCTGTTTATACTATGTAAATTCAATTCGTAGCTATGTTTTATTCAAACATTTACCTAAGGACGGGCATCCCAGAAAAAAATGTAAGGTTTATCTTCAGGGGCCGTGTTTTTTTTTACACTCCTTTAGTGTCTAGGAGTCGTTAGAAGCAGTTTCCAGCCGTTTCCGAGTGACTTTGAGCGGGGTCTTCGTTTTCTACACACCGCGGGGGGATGTGTAGAAAACGAAGACCCTGGTCGAAATTTTCTATAATTGAAAATCGTCAGGGGCCGTGTTGTTTGTTTTATTTTTTTACACTCCTTTAGTGTCTAGGAGTCGTTGAAAGCAGTTTCCAGCCGTTTCGGAGTGATTTCGAGGGGGTCTTCGTTTTCTACACACTGGGGGGGATGTGTAGAAAACGAAGACCCTGGTCGAAATTCTTCAGTTATAATTGAAAACCTTCAGGAGCCGTGTTGTTTTTTACACTCCTTTGATGTCTAGGAGTCTTTAAAAGCAGTTTCCAGCCATTTCCGAGTGATTTTGAGGGGGGCCTTCGTTTTCCACACATCGTGGGGGATGTGTAGAAAACGAAGACCCTGGTCGAAATCTTGTGTAATTGAATATTTTGTCTTCTTTACACATATGAGGCCGAGATACCCGTCTGTAGATGTTTATGAATGATTTTGAGGGGGGTCTTCGTTTTTGGGTCTTAGGTCTTCGGTCTTCGTTTTCTACACACTCGTTATCTGCCATCGATCCTGTTCATCAATTACCAGTTTGACAGACTGTATGCAAATTTGTTTCGCTTGAATCTATAAAAAAATTTGCATAGAGGCCGAACGAGCTTGCGTGACAGTTGAATTTGTTCATGGAGTTGGGGGAAAGGAAGTATGCGGTCCCTCTCTATAATGCGTTACTTTGGGGTAGCAGATTTCTCTTTAGATCGCTAATAAACTATTTAACCAAGAATTTATCTTTCTTGTTACTTACTTCTGAAGAATCGAACAACTCAATTTTATGTAATGAAATTAACCTCGTTAGTGCACGTTTGTTTCCCATGTGAACTAAATAAAAATTCTAAATTTAAGAAAGACAATACTTTGAGTGTTCCTGCTTTTGGAGAAATGGTGGAGGTTTTTGCTCTTTTGGGAGTATAGTCGCTAGTCCATGTTCGCAAATTTGTCATATTATATTTTGATTATATCAATAAAGTTGAAATGGTAAATAGCCCTTTTTACAGTTCCCGGCGCCATATTGAATGTGTAACCGCGCAAACATGATAGCGAGGTTAGTGTTGAGTCGCGTTGCGAGTTCTAGTGAGAGTTTAGTGAAATGTGGTGGTGCTCTGTCCTTTTCATCGAGATATTTCGACAATGAACGATACTTTCCCTACGCAGGATATTCCTCCTTCTTCTTCGAAAAGAAGTGGAAGACACTGTG